TAGCAAACCACTTGCAATGCTGTTTTCCAATGATCCTCTCGTGGATGCTGCATAAACTGTGATAGAATATAAACACAAAATGCTAAATCAGGTCGAGCGACAGCCAAGTAGATAAACCGACCAACCAACTGACAGGTAAGGAGCTGGATTCGTTAAGAATTCTGAAGTAGACAAAGCCAACTTGTGATTTACTTCTAACGGAAAGGGAGCGGGTTTTGCACCAAGCAAACCTGTTTCAGACATAATGTCTAGTGCATACTCTTGCTGACTTAGGTAAAACCCAGTTTTGTTCCTTGAAACCTCAATTCCCAGAAAGTACTTCAAATGTCCCAGATCCTTCATCTTGAAGCAAGAAGAAAGTTAGTTTTTGAAAACCTCCAAAGCGATGTCATTGTTTCCTGTCACTATCATGTCATTCACATAGATGAGCATTCGAATCTGAATTCCCTCTTTATCAAAGGTGAAGAGAGAGTAGTCGGCATGATTTTGCTTGAAACCGTAAGCACAAAGAGCTCTTGTAAGCTTCTCAGACCAGCATCTTGGAGCCTGTTTTAAACCATAAATTGATTTCTTCAAACGATATACCTTGTTTTCATCTTGCGGGTAAAAACCAGGAGGTGGCTTCATTTACACCACTTTGTCCAGATCACCATGAAGAAAGGCGTTATGAATGTCCATTTGATATACTGGCCATTTATTCCATGCAGAACCTTAAGAATCAAACGTACTGTTCCCATTTTTGCAGTAGGGGCAAACGTTTCCCCATAATCTTCACCCACAACCTGTTTATTTCGAAGAGCCACTAATCTGTCTTTGAACCTTTCTATTATGCCATCACAGGTGTATTTGATCTTGTAAACCCACTTACTTCCAATGACTCGTTTTCTTGGTGGTAAATCCTCCAAAATCCAAGTTTCATTCTCTTCAAGTGCATCGACCTCTGTACCCATTGCATTCCGCCATCGTTTGTTGACATATGCCGATTTGAAGGACCGTGGCTCGACATTATCCATAATTGAAGCGAGATAAGCCTTATGGGTCATGGAAAAACGAGCAGAGGAGACATAATTGGAGATAGGATAGATCGATTGAGCACCTAATTTTGTGAGAAGCTGACTTTGAGCCGAGTTTGTAACAAAATTCTTTAACTTTATGGACTTTATCTTCTTTCTTTGACCATGACCAAGCAGTTGTTCTAGGGAAGCAATGTCTTCTGGTTCAGAGGAGTCCGAAGATGTTATTGATTCAGACATCGCCGGAGAAGGTGGTTATACGGGGATCAATATTGGATCAGAAGAAGACGATTCAGAGTTGTCTCATGAAGATGTCGTCGGTGGTGGACTTTGCAATTCAGTAGGTGGGCTATCAAATGGGCCTGTTTGTGGAGTTTCAATAATATTGGGCCTGATTAGTTCATCAAGATTTGGATAAGTGCAAATTAGAGCCCACAAAAGACCTTCTCCTTCTTTAATTTCTTCTCCTATGGAAATCAATTCTGGTGTTGCAAAAGGGAATTGATCTTCGAAGAAGATAACATCAGGGGAAGACAAAAAAATTCTTCTTTCTCTAAATCGTAGAGTCACCACCCCTTTTTACCTTATGGATACCCAACGAAGGCACATTTACGACTTCTCGTTTCAAATTTATGTCCTTTGTGTGCTTGATTATGTGCATAACACAAGCTCCCAATTACTCGTAGGTGAGCATAATCATGCACTTTCTGATATAGTTTTTCAAGTGGCGTGTCCCCTTGAAGAGCTGAGCTTGGGGTTCGATTGATTAAGTAGCCGGCAGTCACGATACACTCGCCCTAAAATTTGGTTGGTAAATTCGATTGAAACCGTATCGCTCGAGCTATGTTGAGAATATGCCAATGTTTGCGCTGAGCTCTTCCATTTTGTTGAGACGTGCCCACACAGGAAGTCTCATGAAGAAAACCATGTTAATGAATGTAAGGAGTGAGACTTGTGAATTCAGTGCCGTACTATGAAAGCTGTGAACTTGTTTCTGAAACTGCCGTTCCACCATAGAGAAGAAATTTCTTAGCTGCGTTGGTGCTTCTGTTTTATCAGAAAGTAAGTATATCCATACACACCTTGAGAAATTGTCAACAATAGTAAGGAAATATCTAGCTCCACAATGCAATGTTTTTCAATACGGACCCCATAAATCAGAGTGAATTAACTGAAAAACTTCAGTAGTTTTATTGATACCAGTCGGAAAAAAAGTTCGAGTTTGCTTGGCGCGGAGACAAACATCACACGCTTTATTTGATACATCAGAAGCAGAAACAGAAACAATCTGTAGTGAACCAACAACTTGTGCAGAAGGATGGCCCATCCGATGGTGCCACAACTCATATAATTTGTCATCCCGAGTTTTTACCGCAGCAGCGAACTCTGTTCTGTGAAAGCTGAAGATTCCAGACTCTCTCTTACCTGCTCCAATCACCATCTTCGAAGCGCGGTCCTGAATCACAAGGAACTGATCAGCGAGTTGAACAACACAGTGATTCTCATCCATTAACTGTCCTACGGCTATCAGATCCGTGTGAAACTCCTCAACAAAGAATACCGATTTCAATGTTAGGTGTTAACCAGAAATACTGTTCTTTCTATGTCAGAGATACGTTCTCTACCATCAGCCAAAATGATCAGAACTGGATCCATTTTTCTAACATTTGTTAAAAGACTAAAGTTGTCGGTGAGATGGTGGGAAGCTCATGTATCTAAAGAAGAAACAGAAGACTTACCCGAGAGTTTTTCAGAACTTCTGCTGGCTCCACCATTCAAGATATTCATTAATGTGCGCCACTGTCCATCATTGAGCCTGCTTATACCATCACGATCTAGATATGTAATAGTGTAGTTTACATGTTCTTTTGATTGCACATTAGGAACCTGAACCGCATTAGCGTAATTGACGTTATGCCCATGCCCAATCTGCGTAGAAGGAGCTCTACGTCCTCTGCCTTGGGTGACTACTCTAGTGCGTCGACGCTCTCCCCATAACTCCGGATACCCGATCACAGCAAAGCAAGAATCAGAAGAGTGTCCCGAGCGATGACAATGTTTGCAAAGCACTGAATTGTCAACTTCAGTTCAAGGAGTATTCACACGTGGTCGTGTTTGAAAAGCATGAGCAGACACCTCTGGTATATCTTCAGTGGTGCGAAAAGTGGTTTTGAGATCCTCTTCCTGACGCACAACATTGTAAACCTCCTCTAAAGGTTGAAGAGGAGTTCGAGAAATCAGAGTTGAGTGTACCGTGCGAAAGTTCTCAGCATGCCCAAAGAGGAATTCATGAACTCTCTCAGCTTCACGATCTTGTTCTTGAATTGTGCCCAAATCACAGTCCCATTTCCCACACTTGCAGACACGCAATGGTCGGTAGTGAGCCATGTTGTCTCAGATCCGATTCAGCTTGCCAAAATATGCTTCAATGGCAAGTCCACGTTCCTTGCAACAAGCAAGTTCCGCCTTGAGTTGTTGGATACGCAGCCCATTGGTTACTGAAAACCTTTTCTTCAAGTTATCCCAAAAATCTTTGGCAACATCACAATGTGAGATGCTTGTTCGAAGTGAAGGATCGATCGTCATCTTGATCCAGGAGACAAGCAACGCCTGAATTGTCCACCAATCCTCTAAATCTGAAGATCCGTCGTCGGGACGAGCAATGGTTCCATCAAGGAAACCAAATTTCTTCCGGGAACAAAAAGCTGTTTCGATCCCACAAACCCACTCGTCATAGTTGGATTCCTTGTGCAAGGGATGGGAGATCACTGCCCTTGGATTATCAACAGCAGTGAGATCGTGCGGTGAGATTGTTCTTCGTGTCTCCATGATCATGGAGTTCGGGTTCGTTGTGGTCGTGTTTGCAGGTGTCCCATTAGACATGATGCAAGGCTCGATTGGAAGAGAAGGAAAAAAATAATCGAAATTTAGTGTTTTCATTTTGATAACATGTAGATAAACTGAGTTTCTGATAGTCAGAAGTTATTGATTATCACAAAGAATAACAGAGATCGGCAACAAAGAAGAATGTGTTCTATATTTCCTCTGAAGAAACAATACAACATTATATAGTTCATAGAGCATACTTACATTTCTGAAATGATACACACAAAATCAAATTATATTGCAGAAGTTACGATAAGTGATTGATTGATTGATATCATATCACAATTCAATCTCTTATGATATGATATCTTATTATAATTCATCTGGATTCAGAGTTTATTCAATAAACTCATTAAAGTGATTAAGTAATTGAATATTTTTATTCAACAACTTCATTGTGGATAATCTATGAGAGGAAAAAGAAATGAATAAAATTAAAAATAGCAAATATTATATTGAATTATGCTTTATCATTTATCATTTAGTTAGTTATGTTATTTTAATAAAATATGGTTGATGTGTTATTAAAATAAATAAAAAGTATTTAAAAAAAATTGGAATAAAAACTATTTTTGAAAGTTTTTAGGACTTTTTTGTTCAATAACCATATTTGCAAAACAATCGAAGAATATAACCATACTATTTGAAAATTTAGTAAACTAACCATGATCCACAATCAATTATCGAAAATAACCTTGTATATATTATAGAATATATAAAGAATATTATAGCATATACTTTACCATGTTATTTGATAAATTTAGTTTGGAAATATGGTCATATGACCTAATTTCCCAAATTTATATGCAGGTTGAAAATCCGTTAACAAAAAAAAAAGTTTATATGCAGATTTTTTATTTTTGTTATTAAAATATGCTATATCCTTCGTGTATGTGTGGTTGGCAACTCTTAAGCTTTAGCCTTTTTCACATTTGTCTCTTTGTCTTATTTCTTCGTCTTTTCCTTCACTTTGCTCCACTAAAAAAAATATTAGAGTTTTAGTTTGAGGCTAAAGAAGATGCAGAGAATCTGAGAGTTGAGGCAGATTTTAGGAATTCTCTCCACGAATCTTGTAAAAGTTTCTGTTTATCTTTCCTTAAGATGGCAGCAATAGCAGGAGGAACATTTAGAATCACCAACTCTCGTATCTATATAACAGCACCAACTCTTTCTTCCTCTTCTCTATTTCCTCCATTAAAATTGGTCTGTAATGGCTTTTGATTTCCATGAATTTTTTTTTTTTGTAATTTCAGTTCAACTGATACAATATGATCCGATTTTTGTCTTTTGTTTCTTTTGCAGCAATCAGGTAATAAAAAGGATAACCAATTTCGTTGTGCCGTCCAAGAGTCTTCTACTTCTGCTGGTAAATTTGTAAAACAGAATGTTTTTGGTTCTTGATAACATCAACAACAATACAAGAAAGTAGTAACATTCTTGTTCTCTCAGTTGCTACCGAGAAGAAAGAAGAAAAAGACTCAACAGTGGAGGTTCCGGTAAAGAAACCTAAACCCGCAGCTGCGAAAGCAGCAGTGGCGGCGAAACCGCTGAGACAGATGATGGAGGAAGACGTGATTCCTCCATTAAAAGCTATTCTTGAAGCTCAAGATGATATCTCTGAGATTGATTTAACTTTCCAAGACGATAAGGTTTCTTGATTCTTAATTAACTTCTAAGACAATTTTCATTATTATCAATTTATCTCTAATTTAACTTGTTTGATTCTAGCTTGAGGGATATTTCTTGAAGAAAGGTATTCAATATTCCTTCTGGGCTTTCTTCCCCACGGGAAACCTCATAGGTAATTTAATGATCTAATCATTTGCTTAAGATTCTTTGTTACAGTAAAATTTTAATGGAACATTAGTCTTTTTGTTCTTGTTTCATGAAATAGGAGCAAAAGGGTTTTCAATTTCCTCATATGGGTCAGGTCCAAGCACAGTGGAGCCGTTTCTGGTCGACGAGAGGAAACCAACCGCGAACCACGTCGTGTTCTGGGTCGAGAAGCGCCTTGCGGCACAAGGGATTATTCCCGTTTGGAACCGACGAGGTTAGGAAATCTCACATGGGAAATGAGATAGAAATCTTGAGTGATACGTAAGAAACATAGGTCAACCCACTCATGAGGGTTTTTCTTATTCACTTGTTAATAATAAAAAACAATCACATTTGTAATACCAAAATTGAAGAAGAGCCTTTTGTTTATGCCAATCCATTTTCAGTTGAGACCATTCTCTTCCTCGCCTTCTCAGCCTGCAAATCAATGGTTCCAATTACTTCAAAGCATAAAACAGAATGTAAAAGTGAAACATACCTTGTTCTAAGTGCTTACCTGTTCATTCCAATTCATGGAAGCAGTGACGATAGATAGTATAATGGCTTGCACGGCGGATCCAACCACAACTCCACACCACAATCCTTTTCCGTTGAACTCACGACTGAAAGCTAAGTAAACTCCAACGGGAGCTCCTACAAGATAATAAGACACCACGTTGTTCCAAGCTCCAATGTGTTGCCATCCACTTCCTCTAGCAACACCATTAAGAACTGCGGTAAATCCGTCGAGGACGAAGGAGAGACAGAGTAAAGGATATAGGTCTGCGACATAATCAACCACTTCTTTCCTGTTGCTGTATGCGTAGCCTATGATGTGCCTGCAGGTGAAGAGAAGTATGCTGAAGAAAGCTGACTCTATGAGCCAGAGAAAAAGCCCTGCCATTATTGATACCGTAGCAACTTGAGGATTCCCAGCTCCCAAATTGTTTGACACGCGTGTGCTGCAAGAAACCATCAATGACTAATGTTGAGGAATGAAAATTGTTGACGATGCTTTGGTTTAAGAATTGACATCATACCTCACAGCTGCCGCGACTCCAGCTGGAATCACATAGTGCAAAGTGTTTGTTGTAAGACTGAAATGAAAGAAAGATGGATTAATCTCTTTATCTATCAGTAAAATGGAAAGAAAAAAATGGAAAAAAATATTTCTATATACCATATCGAAAGAACAGAGGTCTCGAGTTTCGGGTTGGGGAGAAGTCCTGAAGAGAGTATGAGTAGCTCAAATAGCCACCATTCTAGGCTATCAGAAGAAGATGAAAAAAAATTGCAAGCGAGTTAAAAGGAAGCATTAGTGTATGTAGCTTGACCAACAAGAAACATAAAAATGACTTACCAAGTCATTGCTGCTGATGGGACTCCATAATGGAAGAATTGCTTCACACTAGACAAAAAATCATCAGATATGAAGCCGCGAGTCTTCTCGCAAGATCTGGAGAATCTCACATAGCAAGCTAGTATCAGAGCATAAAACCAGAAAGACAAACTAATAGCCAAAGCAGCTCCATTGCTCCCAAGACCAACCACGGAAACCAAAGTCCAACAAACCGGTATGTGGAACAAAAGGGTGGTCACGGCAGTGTAGAGCAGAGGAAGAACCAACCCTTGGGTCTGCAGAAACCGGGTCAGTGGTATGGCAACCGCTTGGCCGAACAATGCCGGTATGAGCCAAAACGCATAGGACCCTGCGACTCTAGAGATGTCAGGGTCTTGTCCGAGAGATACGAAGAGCTTTTCGATGTAAATCCAGAGAATTGATATAAGAAGACAAATTGGGATGTTGGAGGCAATTGCAGAGTATGTATAAGTTCCGATTTTTCTGTATTGTTTGGCTCCATATGCTTGGCCACAGAGAGTTTCCAGTGCACCAACTAACCCATACTGCAAAATATAATTGAAGTGCTTTTCTGTTACAATGTTTTCATTCTCATTGATATAGTTTTGAGATACAAGTATTTTTAAAGTATTTTTCTTTTAAAATGTTTCGAAGACAATTCAAAAGATGTAAGCGTTTTCATTTTGTGCCAATTAGTTTGAGCTGGAAGTTCATTCACTCACATTTTTCAACTCAATCAACCCGTAAAGAGAAAGTTATAAGCCTTCTCATTTTATGCCAATTAGTTTTGAGATTTACAAGTATTTAACTTTTGAAGTATTTTTCTTTTAAAATGTCTCAAAGGCAATTTAAAAGATAAAAACGTTTTTATTTCTTGCCAATTATTTTTGAGCCAGAAACTCATTCCACACATTTTCCAAGATCTTGAAAGTCATAAGGATTCTTGAATTGAAGAGAGGAGAGTCATATCGCAATTACCATAATGCTGAAACCGGAGACGTTAGTGAAGGAGGTGGCAAGAGCGACTCCGGAGAGCTGGAGCTCGCTGTTGTGGCCGGCTACCATGACTGAGATGACAGGTAAAAGGTACTGAGCTATGGTGACGGTGGCCATAGGAGCGGCCAAGCGGCTCACTTTCTTCAACTCGACGGTGAGCTGAATTCTTTGCCATGTCTTTGTACCGGGGACTAACTCCTCGTCCCTCAGAAGAAATGGCTCTTCCATTGTTATCTTGAAGGCCTTCTTGCCTTCGATTTCAGATGGTATGAGATCTTCATAGACCGACAATACTAATGTAAATGGAGACTTTTCTTTGTGTAAATCTTAGGAATAGAATATTGAATTAACAGACTTTGCTTCAATCGTGGGAATATAATATTGTATTAGCACGACATTGCTCGACCAGTAAAAGCACTTTTATATTTTCACGAAAATCATGGTTTGAAGTTTGAACTTTCATACCATGATATCAATCAAACATAAAATAATTCGGATAACTGATTTCATACCATTCCATTCTCATATTTTCCTTATCATTTGAATAAATTAAATGGTTCTAAATGAAAACAGAATAGAAAATAAAATGGAAGAATCGGAATGGGGTATAAAACAGAATAGAAAACCCGTCTAGATTTTTTTTTGATGTTCAGTTAGAACTGAATTGCGCAGATATATAATTGGTAAAACAATATAAAATAGTTACATTTTTATTTTATAATTAGTAATTGGAAAAATATAATTTCTATTATACACTATACTAGGTGATTGGCCCGCACATATGTGCAGCATGAAAATTTTAATTAAATTAATTAATAATAATATATAATTTATAATAAATAAGTGATTGATGTCTTCAATAATATATTTGTATAAAATTTAAGTTTATGAAAAATGATTTAATAAGTTTGAGAAATCGTATACAGCAAAAAACAAAAAAAATATATAAAACTTAAAATACTAAAAACCATAAAATAAAATAAAATAATTCTTCTTTATTTTTTGTTTTCTATTTTTATTCATATTTTACATCTTTTATATATTTTTTTTATCTCATTCTGTCACATTTCGTCCCGTTTCTGGTTCGTAATTCTTGTTATATAATTGGAATACATTCACATATAATATAAACTTTTGTTCTTTATTTATGGTAGGACAAGATAAGATGATAATACAAGTGAATACATTCTTTTTCTAAAAATCTGATTCCGCAAATTTCTTACAAACACTTGAGCTTGTAAATATTTTGCATAAGAGTTATTTGAAATAAAAATCCAAAAATCTCCAACAAAAAAAATGATTTCACAAATTTTCTGCCAAAAACATGAATAAGTAACTTTCGCACCAAAATAATTACATCAAAAATATGATCCAAAGACATTTTATCAAAATTTCAGTTTTGTAAATTTCCCTCGAAATAGTGAACTCATAAAAACAAATTCGCCAAAAAATTTACATTAAAAAAGTGATTCCAAAAACTACCAGTAAAAATTTGATATCATAAATTTTCTGCCAAATAAGTGAAACCATAAATTTTCCGCAAAAAAAAATACTTAAAAATATAATTTCAAAAAAACTTCCGTGAAAAACCGATTTCAGAAATTTCTGCAAAAACATGAAATTATAATTTTTCCACCAAAATATTTATTTCAGAGTATTTTCATTTGATTTCGTGATTTTTTTACCAAATATTGTGAATCCATTAATAAGCAAAAATAATGATATCAAAAACATTTCGGCTATATAGGTTGATACAAATTTTTTGCTAAATACTTGAAATCCGTAATTTTGCTGACAAAATTTTTGTGTTGAAACGTGATTTTAAATCTTTTTGACAAAATTATAATTTTCTTAGTCTTTTTGTCAAAAAGTTGAGTATTTAAACTATATTCTTAAATTTTTAACATCAAATTTTATTTATAAATTAAATAATACCATGTCATAAGCCATATGTACTAAAAACTGACATGTCACAATTACATCATTATTACACATCATCATTTACATATCACATTAAAATTGTTTGAACTAAAAATATTAACTATTCAAATTAAAACAAATCAACAATTTTCATTAAACTATATTCTGAATTAATAGGTAAAAGATTGAAACATAAGTAGATATCAATTAAAGTGAATAAGGTAAATAACTACTATCACTGAGGTAACGCGTCATGCGGGCCTCCTGCTGTTGGGAAACGGATCTGTGTGACCCGCCCGCCATGGTTTTGAGTTAAATTTATAAAAAAAGAACTGCACTGCCCCTTATTAGTCAAGCAGCAATGAGGTTTTTAGGCATTTGTTGACTATGGAACTTGTTACATTTGTATACCAAAGAAGCACCTTCTTCGTTTATGTCAATCCATTTTCAGTTGAGACTATTCTCTTCCTCGCTTTCTCAGCCTGCAAATCATATATTCCAATTACTTGAACATATATAAAACAAAACTATACCAAGCTGAAATGGCTAATAACCTGTTCTTTCCAATTCATAGAACCTGTGACGATAGCAAGTATAGTGGCTTGCACGGCGGATCCAATCACAACACTGCACCATTATCCTTTTCCGTTGAACTCAAGACTGCACAATCTAACAATACTAACAATTGTAATAAAAAAATAAACATAGATCTAACAATCTAATTAAAATTAAACATAGATCTAACAATCTAGTTATTGGATTAGTTATTGATAGAAATAGTTTGAAATCTTCTCTTAAAAAAGGGAAGATTTAGAATTTAAAATAATTTAAATGATTATTTATAATTAAATATCAATAGATAGAAACACCAATTTATATATGATGGTATTTGAGAAAATTTAGAATGCATTAAAAGTTATTTAAATAAAATTTGTTTTTCAAAAATTCTCAAATACCATCATATAAAGTGACATTTCTATCAATTGATTTTTATCTATAAATAGTGAATCAAATTATTACAAATTCTTTTATATAGAGTATATAGATTTAGAGAAATCTCGTCTGATTAAAAGATTTTTTATGAATAACTAATATACCCAATAAACTTGGATTTTGAATAATTTTAGCAAATGTTAAATACAATAAGATTAAAAATTTAAACATTCTATAACATCATTAGTACAATAAAGGAAGATTTGGTAAAAGTTTAAAATTCTACCAAAGATTCAATATGTCCTCTTGCAAGTCAAAAGGATTTTTGAATTGAAAAGGAGAGAGAGTCTATCACAATTACCGTAATGCTGAAGCCGGAGACGTTAGTGAAGGAGGTGGCAAGAGCAACGCCGGAGAGCTGGAGCTCGCCGTTGTGGCCGGCAAGAATGACTGAAATGATAGGCAAAAGGTATTGAGCAATGGTCACGGTGGCCATAGGAGCGGCCAAGCGACTCACTTTCTTCTGCTCGATGGTGAGCTGACTTCTTTGCCATGTCTTTGTACCGGGGACTAACTCCTCGTCTCTCTGAAGAAATGGCTCTTCCATTGTCGCCTTTATACTTTTAAAGGCCTTCGCATTTGATTTCAGATGATATGAGATCTTTATAGATAGACGAAACTAATGTAAATGGACTTTCTTCGAGTAACAGTGTAACACATGGCCTTGGGAATAGATTACTTAATTAACACGACTCGCTTCAATCATGAGAAATATTTTTTTCAACAGATTATATTACTCATAAATTTAAAACGGATCTACAATAGCACATAAATGTAGATGATTCTATGCCAAAGAGTGATCACTTGTTGCAGAAAAATAAACCAAAGCAATAAAAAGATAGGTTATGCAGTCTAATCCAAAGACAAAAATTGGAAGCTTCTTCAAAAGAGCTTCTGAGATCGATCTGAAATCAATCTGAAGTTCTTCTGCTATTAGAGACAAGCGAACAACAATATTAGCTCGAAATGCTGTTAAAGCTGAGCGTTTGAGAAGATTCTCCATACATGAGAAGATACAATCGGAGGAGGTTTGTTGCCATGGTTGGCTACCTCTAACTCCCGTACATGGTCGAAACTGAACGAAGGAGGATTGTTGCCGTCGTAGGCTACCTCTAACTCCTGGAAACTGAACGGAGGAGGATTGTTGCCATCGTAAGCTACCTCTAACTCCCGAACAGGAAGATGACTTGCCAAATGCAAAAGATGATTGGTCATAGGCTTCACGGCCCACCAAAAATTCAGGACAGAAACAGCTTGTCGGGCTAAGCTTGTACAACAGGCCCAAATCATAGCCCACCTGGTCTAGGCCCAGTAAGGCTCACTTGAAAAGAAACCAGTAACAGCGGCTGGAAGCATGACGGTTAGTAGCATGACGCTTGCAAGCAAGGTGGGGCAGGAGCCGAGGAGTCTTGCCGGTAAAAGTAGCAGCGGCAAGATTTATGAAGATGTTCACCAGACCGGCGGAGAGGGCACGCCTTGAAGCCCACCCAGAAGCCCAGAAGCTCTAACCAAAGATGGAGGAGGGAGGTGACGGCAGAAGTGCAGAGGGGGGAAGCAGAGGGCACACCTTGAATCCCACCAAGAGTACTCGTTGATGAGGGTTGAAGAGGTTATATGTTTGCGGTGGTGATGGACAGAGGCGGAGGAGACAGCAGATCTGCAGTAGAGGTTGAAATGGCGACGGAGGAAAGAGCCTCTCGCCGGAGCAGAGGAATTTGGCGAGCCTTGCCGCAGCAGAGGTGAAGTACGGTGGATATGGGCGAGGGAGAGCAGTGACACAAGCTTTTGGAGCTTGCACATCCGGCAGATCCGGTGGATCCGGTGGCTCTAGAGGAATGGAAAGGTTGAGCTGCGGTGTAAAGAAGATCAGCTGGAGGTGAGAAAGAGAGAGCACTCGTTCTGGTGGCTTCGGCGGAGTGGAAATGCGGGTCAGGGTGATGTAATACTCAGATGAGAGTATTACGGTGAGCAGAGTGGGTGATATGGTGGAGACAACACACTGGCTTTGACGCTCTCTTGTGTTGGCAAAGGGGTGAGAATGATAGAACAAGGCATGATGGTCACTCCTTGAGCCGAGATGGGATCTGTCAAGCTGGCTATAACGCTCTCTCTTGAGGGATGTGATGAATGATGTAATGAAGTGGATTGATGGCACCACAGAGAGAATGGATGGCTCTCTGATACAGCAAACACTTAGTCTTGTACGAATCACACGAACAAGAACAAAGCAAGAACAAAGGCAAAGCGGCGGCTATTGCTTTTGGAAGAAGTTCAGCCTTTATTGATAATGTAGGGTAACCAAAGATACAACGCTGCAGGGGAGCTTTATAAACAGCTCGTCAACTAGCACTAAGGCCGAAAATAAAAGCAAAACGACATAGCAAAGAAATACAAAAGAGCAAAACGCACAAAGACAAAAATACATGAAAAAGGAAAGTTCAATTAAGCTAAAAAAGAATAGAAACTAAGCTGACTTTCTTGATGCCTTAAGAGCTCCAACTGGCTCTCACCAATGCATAGAGCTCCTTGTCGTACGTCGGGTAATTCAGTGTAGCTCCACTGAGTTTCTCACTAAAGAAGGCTACTGGCTTCTTTCTCTGATGTAACACAGCTCCTATGCCTAAGCCAGAAGCATCGCACTCCACCTCAAACATCTCGTCAAAGTCTGGTAAGGCTAGAACCGGCGCTTCGGTCAGTTTCTCCTTCAAGGTGTTGAATGCGTTCTCTTGAGCTGCTCCCCACGAGAATGGTGTATTCTTCTTGATCACGGCAGTAAGTGGTGCAGCTACTGTGCTAAAGTCTCTCACGAATCGGCGGTAGAAGCTAGCTAACCCATGAAAACTCCTCACATGACCGATTGTAGAAGGTGTAGGCCAATCTCTGATCGCCTTTATCTTCTCCTCATCAGCTTGTAGTCCCTGTTTACTTACTACAAAACCTAAGAATACAATCTGATCAGTACAAAAGGTGCACTTCTTAAGGTTGGCATATAGACCTTTCTTTCGAAGTGATTTAAGCACTAGTTCGAGATGTTTAAGATGATCAGCTAAGTTCTTACTATAAATAAGTATATCATTAAAATAAACAACTACGAATTTGCTTATATATGATCTAAGAATCTGGTTCATAAGCCTCATGAAAGTACTTGGGGCATTGGTTAAGCCAAAATGCATAACTAGCCATTCGTAGAATCCTTGCTTAGTCTTAAATGCAGTTTTCCACTCGTCTCCTTCTCTCATTCAAACTTGGTGATAGCCACTCTTAAGATCCACCTTTGAAAAGATTGTTGAACCGCTCAGCTCGTCTAACATGTCATCTAACCGTGGGATAGGGTGGCGGTACTTGATAGTAATGTTGTTGATGGCTCGGCAGTCCACGCACATCCTCCACGTCCCGTCCTTCTTGAGAACCAGCAGCACCGGTACGGCACAAGGGCTAAGGCTCTCGCGGATGTCGCCCTTTTCCATGAGATCCCTAACTTGCTTCTCAAGTTCTTTGGTATCCTCCGGATTCATTCTATAGGCCGGCTTGTTAGGTAAGGCTGACCCCGGTACAAGATCTATTTGGTGTTCTATGCCCCGTAGAGGGGGCAATCCCGGAGGTATCTCCTCGGGAAACACGTCTTGAAAATGGTTAGCACGGCTTGTACTTCTGGTGGAACCTCTAAATCACCTAAACCTGTGCTTAGACATTCTTTGAAATACATTAGTAGCACGGTGCCCTTGGCACACATGGTTTTAGATATGTCATTAGCTGAAAGATAGAGACTAGCTTTACTTACCTCAACCTCCTTAGACATGTGTTTTTGCAACTCATGTACCTCGGCTGGGCTAAGTGGGGCAAGAGTGAACTTACGGTCTTTATGTGTGAATACATAATGGTTGGTACGTCCGTTGTGGCTGGAGGCTCGGTCAAATTGCCACGGCCTCCCGAGTAGTAAGTGTCCTGCTTGCATTGGTACCACATCGCATACAACCTCATCTAAGTACTTTCCCACGCTGAATGGCACAATGACTTGCTCCGAGATTTTAAGCTCGGTTTGATCATTTAGCCACCGTAGCTTGTATGGTCGCGAGTGTTTGATCTTCTCAAGACCTAACCTGTCCACCATATACTTGCTAGCTACGTTAGTACAGGATCCACCGTCTATGATAAGGTTACATACCTTTCCTTGGATTGTACATCTTGTATGAAAGATGTTTTCTCTTTGCTCTTTCTCTTCGGGGTTAACTAGCACGCTAAGCACCCGCCTTGTAACTAGAAGGTCTCCTCGGTCAGGATACTAAATGTCATCCTCCTCACCATCCGAGTCTTCTTCCAGCTCATCTTGTGATTTATACTCGCCGCTAGGGGTGAGAATCATCACACGGTTGTTGGGGCATTCCCTAGATATGTGTCCCCTGCCTTGACAGTTGAAACATGTTATGTCTCTAGATATTTGATTAGTACTAGGGAACTTACCTTGCTCCGGTCGGTTGAATTTGGGGGCCTCGGGATTCTTGCTCTTGAAGCGAGAATCTATCTCTATACCCTTGCCCTTGTCTAAGGGTTTTGAACTACTTGACGCCCACGGTTGATTAGGTTTGCTGCGGTTGAAGTGGGGGTTCTTGCGTTTGATTTGTTGTTCCACTTGTACGGCTAAGTGTAGTAACTCGTGCATCCCCGTGTACTGCATTCGCTCCACCTTCCTTGCAATTCTCTCTTGCAAGCCGTCTAAGAACTGAGCCATTAAGGCTTCCTCTGATTCCTCTAACTCCAACGAGTTCATTAGCTTCTCAAACTCCTCAAAGTACTCGTCTACTCTCCTTGCTCCCTGAGATAACTTACAAAAACGTTTTTGTAAGTTCCTATGATAATGCTCAGGAACATACCTTTGTTTGAGCAGATACTTCATATCGCTCCATGTAGACACTTGGCCAAACCGTTGCCTTCTCCTTTCGGCTACGGTTCTGTCCCACCATGCAAGTGCATTCTCCGTGAGGTTAGCAGCTGCTACGGCTACTTTCTTACGCTCAGGGTATCCATAGCACTCGAATATGTGGTCCATACGCCTCTCCCAATCCAAGTATAGCTCGGGATTAGACTTTCCTGCAAAAGTAGGAGGTGTTAGTTTGATATCATGGTTTGTATCTCTAACATTTACCTCGCGGTTTGGATTTCTTTGTAGGGGATCTTGTCTCCTTTGTCCTCGTCTCAAGAGAGGATCAAGGTTATCATCATCAGTGTCTTGTAACTCATCTCCCGGATCTACTGGTGGTATGGGGGCTCCTCGTACAGCCGCTCTCCTCGGCTGAGTTTCAATCTGTTCAAGACAAGCTCCAAACTCTTGACGAATGGTACCCATCTGTTGGGTCATGCTTCTCATGTCCTCCCTCATGGCTGCTAGCACTTGAGCGAGATCAGCTGGTGCACTGTTTGCTCCCTCGGTCATGTTGTTAAAGCTTCTTAACCTTGCAACACTTAACAAACTTGTCACAGCACCAATGAATTAACAACTAACAAAAGCTACTAATTAGCCTAATAACCAAGCAATATGATCCAAGACAA